GTCTTCCATTCCCTTCATTGCGGCCTTCCTGACATTTCAGACGCCATTTCTTATAGCCCCAATGTAGAAATTTCTCAAGCAAATTAACACTCCTGTCTGCCCTCCGCGATCCCAACTCTACCTGTATTTCAGATTCTCTACTCACATGTCTTTTAGATGTACCCCTTGGCCTTTACAGATAAGTGTCTTCATATGTTCAAAAGATATATATATATATATATATATATATATATATATATATTATTTAAACAAATAAATTAAAAAATGACGGATTTAAAACATTTCCTAAAAAATGCCTTTGTTTACGTCAGGATACGAAACAGAGCAAATATTTATATTTCGAGAATTTGCGAGATATGTGTTCAAAAGATCTTCACGGGCTGTGTTTGATCAGGAGGTGGCCAAGAGGTCAAGGCACTTTAGATATGATGGTGCTTTCCTCTAGGGACGCAGGTTCGAATACTCTCGAGGGGCAAGTTTTTCATAAAAGATTTCTCAAATATTATGAGATATATGTAATTAATATACTGTTTAACAAAAAACAGAACATCTATTGAAATATGAGTATTCATTAAAAATAACCTTTAAACAATTATATATATATATGTGAGTGTGTCCCCCCCCACAAAATGATTAAATAAAGAAGAAATAGGGAAACATTTATAAAGTTAACATGTTTAGCTCTTATGTCAGCTTCATCAGAATTTTGAAATAAAAGTGAAACATGTTAGATTTATAAACTATTCTATTTAACTTTATATATATATATATATATATATATATATATATATATATATATATATATATATATATATATATATATATATATATATATATATATATATATATATATATATATATATATATGTTTCTGTACCTTTAAAACTTAGTATATTATAAAAAATAAGTTACTCCAAAATTCGCTTGAGGATGAAATGGAACTAATGTATTTAATTAAATTCAAAGCTTTTAGCTTCCATTTTTGAAAGATGGTTATTACTGTGTAGCGAAAAATAACCCATATTTTAAACCAGCTAATTGAAAATATTAATGCTCTGTAAATTTACATTGAGCACTATTTTGTAAAAATAAAAATGCCAGTAAGAAAACCGGATTATATATCTTACTGTTCTATCTTTATGTATATATATATATATATATAAATATATATATATTGATTCACCTATGAATATACGCGCGCGCTCACACACACACACACTTGCTTGATACCTAAGATAAGAAGCTCCGTTCCTGTCATCTGACGATCATTCTGATTGAATCTCAGAGTAACAGTTTGCACCAATTCTTGTGGGGCTGTTTTGTTGGGCAGTGTTACTGTTCTATCTTGGTCTATATGCTCGAGGTATTGAGCACTTCGGATTATTCGGTTTTCACTTTTTTTTTCTTTTCGTTTTGTTCATTTTCTTTTCGTTTTGTTCATTTTCGTTTTTGTTCGTTTTCTTTTCATTCTTTTGTCGTTTTTTGTTCATTTGTTAATTTGGTTCCTATTTTTGTCTTTTAAAGTTTTTTCATTTCGCAAGTTTAGTGTCGACAGGATTGTGTTTGGAAGCTTTACCAACAATTATTATTATTATTATTATTATTATTATTATTATTATATATATATATATATATATATATGATATTAGTGGCCAATATATATATATATACATTAATTCCCAAGAGGATAGATTCCAGGTAGAACTCAATGTCCAGGACAGGGTAAGAATATAAAGCATTTGAATTTGTTGGTTTGATGAATTAGATCGTGATTACGATTCCAAAGTAATAAATTTTAACCATGGAATATTAGCGTTTGAGCCTTTTATATTATATATTCGACTCTCCCGTCGAATTCGACGTATGAGGGTCAAGCAGATCAGTTCCTAGGAAACCGACAGCCCGACAACAGCACCTGAGATTTGGTTATAGTGGTGAAGGTTTCGTGCAGGACCAACCACACTTTTTGAAGGGCCGAATACAGAGATCTGGTGCACTACGTGCCACAGGGTCCCCAAACGACCCTCCGCAGGTTTTGAATTCAGAGTTGTCCTTCTCTTAGACCAGTTGCCATCCAAGGCTATAGAACCCAGTCTGTCCTGCTATTTACTCACAGAGAGAGAGAGAGAGAGAGAGAGAGAGAGAGAGAGGGGGGGAGGAGAGATAATATGTACATAGAAATTAACATTGCATTATCAGTTTTACATCTAACCTACTTTTCTGACAATTCTCTGTCTTCGATAATGAGAACTTCGCCGCTATAAATATACCAAACTTTAAACAATTTAAATATATATATATATATATATATATATATATATATATATATATATATATGTGAAAAGTGTATATAAGTATAAATAAATATATATATGTATAATTATTTATATATTATATGCGCTAAAGCGTGAAACCCAGGGTCACAAACTCACATCTATCCAAATATATATATATATATATATATATATATATATATATATATATATATAAATATATATAATATAAAAATAGAAAAACAGTAAGATATAAAATATATATATATATATATATATATATATATATATATATATATATATATATATATATACTTGGTTTCTACAGATGTGTTATTATTTATACGATTATAATTAATTTCCTATAGATTAAATTCTTAAAAAATACATATTTTATGTATTTCTACATCAGCTATTATAAATTATTTACCCACTGCCCCACGCAGCAAGAAGTGGCGCAAGGTCGATTTTTAAAGTGGGGTATCCGAGCCCGTAGGCTCGGGCAAAAAATTCTCTAAAGACCACGTAAAAACGGATTCAGTTTCCCGAGATGAGACTCTGATCTTCGGGCATAGCCTCGTCTGGGGGAATACCCTCTCACATGTGCCAGGTTATTATAATTATTATTCAAAAGACACAATCCGCATTAAATAACATCATTTTTTAGTAGAGGAGATTGTATTTTAAAGGCCATATAAAATATTGAATATGCCTAAAAAATGATTGTACTTTCTTTACTGGTGCAGTAACTGTGTAACTGCTGTAGAGGGTGCGATGGATAAATTATCGTCTAAATTCCGTAAAAATGAAAATAATACTTGCGTCTCATTTTAACAGATATATTTACCAAAATTACACAAAAATATCTTGAAATACTAAAGAGTAAAATTATTCAATAAAATCGCCATTGGCTTCTACTACTCCTGCAACTCTTCTAGACGGTTTCCATGTTTAAGTTGGTGAATTCTGCCATAATCCTTGTCTTCAGTTCATCTTTGGTGTTACAAGAAGTTTTGTTGGCCTCTCGCTCAAGTGTGCCCCACACATAATAATCTAAGGGGTTGCAGTGTGGGGAGTTAGGTGGCCAGATGTAAAAGCTGAGATGTTTGCAGAAATTATTTGACAGCCATAACTGGATTCTCCTGCTTGTGGGGTATGGTGCAGAGTCCTGTTGCCAGACATACGGTCTTTCAGCAGCCACCATCTTGACCGAGGGCAACACTACCCCCTCAAGGCACTTGATGTAGGTCTCTGTGTTGAGTCTGAGGCCCTCACCAAGAAATTTGGGACTTAGTAGAACGATCAGAATGAGTTTTCCGTAATCACCATTAGACTCATTTAACTCTTTCCAAATACTCTGCACTGTCCTCAGATTGACACCCAAACACACTGAAATATTCGCATTGGAGCTTCCGGCACCAATGCCAAGCAGTACAGCATGTCGTTTCCCAATTTTTGGCGGAATGAATTGCATCATGGTGCTCTTTTTTCTTACAGACGGTGCCAAAATGGTCCTACTATACTCTGCAGTTGACAAAATCAAAAACAAACAACGCGCATGCGCGAAAGTAAAAATATAAAATGGCGACAATTTGCCCATCGCACCCTGTACATATTTCATCACTTATATGTAGCATTCCAAAAAATGCCAGGAAATTATATTAACAACATTTTACTCTTGAAAATGACTGACACTAACCAAAGTACTTGAAAGAAAGTAGAACAAAAACATTCATTTTAGATAATTTAACCACTATTTTAATTTGGATGTGCAACACCATATTCCATAGAACTGAAAAAATACAAATAAAAATTAAACAGTCAACTCTTGTCTGCTGAATTTAACAAAAGTTTTTTTTTATCTATATATATATATGTACTGATTTCGTGCTGTTCCAGAAGTTATTTTGTGGATGCCCACGTTCGAAAAGACGCCATGCATTTTTTTAACAGAGAGAATTACGGCTACCGGACAGTGCATTCGAGAGACTTAATAAAGAGGAGGTTCGAAGATGTGTCCCCCTTTGTAGGAGAAACCATCGTTTGATCCACTTTTGCTTAAGACCTCTCTGTAACAGAAATCACGCTGGATGTGACGATAGTTTCTCTTAGAAAGAGGAGCGCAATTTCTAACCCTACTGGAGAGAGTACATTTTCTTTAATATGTCTCTCGAATTCACTGGCTGGTAGATGTAATTTACACGGGTTAAAAAACAGAGCGTTTACTCAAACATGGTTATCCACACAATAAAATTTGGAGCAGTAGGAAAAGAACATGAAATGAAATAATGTCGGATGTCGGTGTCTTTTAAACTGTCTTTGAGGAAGTGGAACCTGAGGGTTTTGGCAAAAACCATTCTTCTTTGAATATTGTGGACTGGCGATACAGGATAACAAACAAAGAATTGTACCAAATAACAGAACTCACATCACTGGATGACTACCAACAGCGGCAACAATTAAAATGGATAGCACATATAATTCGAAGAGAAAATAATGGCATAATCATGATGTTGATATTCCACACTACTTTAAATAAAAGGTTAGGAAGGAAACACCCATTGATACTGGAAAGAGCGATAACAGCTACTGGACTATAAAATGTTTCTCTTAAAACAATTTTTCGAGAAAATAGGTTGTGAAACCTATTTTCCTGAAAAATATTTCTACCGAAAGTAGTACTGGCTGCTCGGTCAATGAAGGCCAAATGTTTCCTTATAGGGAAACGACGAAAAGAGAGAGAGAGAGAGAGAGAGAGAGAGAGAGAGAGAGAGTTGAAGTAGGAAGGGAAAGACGAATGAAAATATTCGTAAGCAGGAAAATAGAGCAATATGAACGAAAAAAACCCCAGAATGGCTCGAATGATAGGTCAGTCGATTTAATAATCATCTCCGACATCAGATTCAATTCGAGTAGCAGCGATGAAGACTATCTTAAGTACAGCCTGAAAACAATTGGTCATCTCAGAATCCTGTCGCCTTCGACAAAACAAACGAAAACACTGGATGACTGCGTGAACACCTCGTCCCTATCGTCATTCTTCCGTCTTCGCTAATATTTCATTCAATATTAGGCCGAACACAATTCAAGACATGCGTTATCCGCTTGAAGACAAAAACGTTTTTACTAATATAAATCAGTTAGAAGATGATCGGCTTCAATAAGAACTGGCCAAGATGGCTGGCTATTAATTGTCTGCCCATAAAATAAAGATATGGCTTGATTGTATCTGTGTTTCTGTGCTGTGGCGTCGATTGATTGCTTTTCAACATTGCATTATCCTGGAACTTGATACGAAGAAGTGGCTTGATGAGTACAATTCGTTTTGTGTAAGCCAGAAAGCCGGAAGAGAGTCTGTGTGTATATCTACATAGAATACTTGTGATTATTTTTTAATTTATTAGACAATTTCTCTGTGAGGAAACCATCCTGGGTAAAGATTTGGTTTATTGTCTTAACGAAATCACATTTTCAAATTCACTTTGAAACATGCATACTAAAAAGTCAATAAGCGCTGGATTAGTTTATTCTTGGAAGCGGCGAATAAACTTATATTAAGCTATTTTATATAAGTAACAATAGTATTTATATAAAAATAAACGTAACTCCGATAAATATACTTGCAGATAATAAATATCCATATAACAATAGATTGTAGCGGAAGGGCTAGTTGTTAAAGTGGGGTATTATTTAGTGATCTGTATTTATGAGACATGTGATTCGGTATTGACTAAGAAGTGCCACAGAGGGGAAACGAGGCACGTCTTGTCCCTACGGTATCCTGTGAGTGAACAGAGAAAATAAAGGGAATGTTTGCTAATGCCTTTTTCTTTCCTACTACTTTTCCATTACGCCATCTAGCGGACATTAGAAGCCTCCTTATAGGCAGAAAGATTGAGTAATACCACAAAACCCTGTTCTTTTTTTTCTTTAGAGAAAGGCATATATCATATGTATTATTTGATAATGCAGAATCTGGTAGGTGTGTATAAACGTGCCAAGCGTTTTTTCTTACATTATTTTTTTTAAGCGTTTCACCCAAAGCAAGGCGGGAAGCCACTAGCATGCAAGGGGTTATAGAGAATTGGAGCGAGAGCAGAAAGGAGTGATAGAGGAAAGGATGAAGAGAAGGATAGGGGATAGATCAGGGCATCTGGACACGTCGATTGACATTACATTTGAATAGTTGAAGTTTATAGCTATCAGGGAAACAGGAAAAGGGGAGGGAGTTCCACAGGCGAGAGGTGCGAGACATAAAACTATTAGAGTAGAAGAGACAGCTACATTTAACAGTTTCGACAGTGAAAGAGGTGAGAGCGAGATGCCAGGCTGGTTGAACGCTTAAATTCATGAAGTCTGGGAACCAGCGAAAGCAGCTCATCGGAGCAGTTACCGTGAAAGTATTTGTAAAAAAGACAGAGGGAGGCGACGGCACGTCTGTGAGAGAGCAACTGCAAACGAGATGCCAGATCAGGGACAATTACATTGCATATCCGTCTCTGGATCTTATCAAACAGAAGGGGCACCGGACCATATATGGCAGCAATACTCCATGCAAGGGCGAATGGTTGATTTGTAGACTTGATTTATTTAATTAATAAATCACCATAATGATGCGATATATTTGTTTATCATCATAGAATGTTCGCTAAATTTTTATAACCTTTTGCCAACCTTACGGAAGATTGCTAACTTCGATAAATTGTCAAAGACATTTTGAACATAGAACTGTTTAGAAGTTTGACCAAATTAATAATTTAAGACTTATGAATTTAAGAATTCTGCATTGGTCGGAAGAAATTGTAATCTGATAGAACGAAGTGAAAGAATTACGCCACGTGAAGAAGATTCTCATTCTAATACCATTATGGCTTTTGGATCGAAAAAGTGCGAGTGATGCCGTAGAATAGTATGGCTTTCCAGCTTCTCGGTTCTGTAAATGACCTTTTAATTCAGTTGCTGCACTCAAACATTGAAGGATTCGACTGTAATACCATAACAGTTTCACCAAGTCACGTCAGTTTATAATACGCTTTTCATATTCCTAAATACAGAGCAAGAAGCCCATATATCGTTGTTTCGTTATTAATGTAACCGGATCCCGTGGATCGATCCCATCATTTTAGACATTTCGGATGGTTGTAGTGAATCCACTTTTCACCTTCAGTGACAATCTTGTACAAACGTATTTTTTCATATCTAAGAAAAAGTAAAATGCAGATGGTGAAACCCTGTCCAACGCTTTGCTTTGACAGTTCTTGTGGGACGCATTTCGAGTCCTCCTTATATTACTCGACATTTAAACTTCCAGGAGCTCACGTTATATTTCTAAAGCAATTTTTACAGATATAGCTACCGTAGAAAAAAATAAATAAACTTCCGGCTGTCAATCAATCGGGCTGTCAACACCTCATCAAAACACCTACCACTGTGTTAAAAAATGCATTTCTATGATATTTTAAACTAAAACTGAAATCAGATTAATTTTTCCTCAAATAAAGTTTCGGAGAAATATATTTTATTTTTGAAAGATCTGAATGCTGTGCTTTGACAGTTCTATTGCACATTTTCGTCCTTTTCGAGTCTTCCATATATTGCTCGACACTAAGACTTTCAGGCAATTTTAACGTTTATTAAGTGAGGGAGGGAGGGAGGGGGGTCAACATCCCAAAGCACTTACAGGTCTTTTCTTCCAAATTTTTGTGGTCTACCGTTGCGAAGTTTTTTTTTCCTCCAAGTCAACATCGCCATTATTAAACATCGCAAGCATTCCACAACATATTTTGCTTCCAAACAATTCACTTCCAAATGTTTCATCAATCGTCTGCTTTTGTCTGACCCAAGGACGAATCAACATTGAATAGAGGAGGCTCAAAATTGATTCTAAATTATGCATTCGTTACCACGTTTTTGAAAAAAAAATAGGTGTCTGTGGACTTTTTCGAAGACCGATAAACACACACACACACACACACACACACACACACACACACACATATATATATATATATATATACCTTGGACCAAATTTAAATGTCGATTAAGTTTAAGCGTCTAATGATTTTTTTCTTTTTCTTTCAGATTTAACAACTTAAGTCTTTGGCAATTTCAGCCATGGAAAGATTAACAATCAAACAAGTCCCAAGAGTGCATTTGGAAAAATTGTTCGTAAATTCAAACAAACTGGGTCGGTGGCAGATGTGAAAACACCATCACATGCTCGTTTACACCGTTCAGCTGAAAACATTGCTGCAGTGCACGAGAATGTGGCCGAAAATCTAGACGCCTCTATTCGTTATCGCGCGCAGGAATTGAACCTCTCCACAACAACGTTACATCGTTTCCAATTGCACTCTCGGTTGGTCGATTATGTTGACCAAAATGATCGCGAAGTGCGCAAAATGCATTTCTATTTGAACGTCCATTTTCGTAATAGGCTTCGATAACTTTAACACGTTGTTAATCTTTCCATGGTTGAAATTGCCAAAGACTTAAGTTGTTAAATTTGAAAGAAAAAATCATTAGACGTTTAAACTTAATTCACATTTAAAACGCCCTTGATATGAATTTGGTGGAATCCGTGACTTATTGGATACTACCAAGATATGCGAATACATCATTTACAACGTTAAAATATATCGCCCATACCTATTCAACATTATGATATAATCATTTTTTGAAAAGTTTTCGGACTAACAAAGTATTTATAGCTGGTCATTTAGTCAGATTTTGGAAAGATGTTTGAGACGAGAACTTTTCAGCACTATATATATATATATATATATATATATATATATAGAGAGAGAGAGAGAGAGAGAGAGAGAGAGAGAGAGAGAGCGCTGAGTTCGAATTACGGTCGAATCCATTACATTCACTTACATGATAATGCCCTTGGGAAAGGTATTATTCCTCTTCTTTTCTCCCTCCAGCTATGGGTAAATACCAGGACAGACTGGGTTCTATAGCCTTGGATGGCAACTGGTCTAGGAGAAGGACAACTTTGAATTCAAAACCTATAGAGGGTCGTTTGGGTATCTTGTAGCACGTAGTGAATCAAGTCTCTGTGTTTGGCGCTTCAAAAAGTGTGGTTGGTTCTACACAAAGCCTTCACCATTATAATCAAATCTCATGTGCTGGTGTCGGGCTGTCGGTTTCCTAGGAACTGATCTACTTGACCCTCGTACATCGAATACAACAGGAGAGCCCACCATTTATCTATCTCTCTCTCCCTCTCTCTCTCTCTCATCTCATTTTAACATATATTTACCAAAATTGGACAAATTTATCTTGAAAGAGTAAATATATTCAATAAAATCGCCATTGGCTTCAACCATAGTCTCCAGAAGACTTCGGAATCTCTTCCATCTCTTCTGGACGATCTCCTTTTTAAATTGGTGAATGGTATTTACTTGACTCACACTAAGTCAAGATGTGACACAAGGTCGTTTAATGTGGGAGACCCGAGCGTTTCCACTCAAAGGCCACTGGTCAAAATTGGTCATAGCTTGTCCAAGCTGGTCAGAGCCTAGTCAAAGCTGGTCATGACTTGTCCTAACAGGTCCAGGCCGGAGCCAGTCCAAGCTAGTCAAAGCCTTGATCGAATCTCAGCCATAGGCCAAGAAACGATCCAATATTTGTCAAAAACCCCAGCCGAAAAATTAAAATTTTTAAATTGGTGAATGCTGCCATAATCTTTGCTTTCAGTTCATCTTTGGTCTTACAAGGAGTTTTGTTGATCTCTCGCTCAACTGCACCCCACACATAATAATGAAGGGGTGGTTGCAGTCTGGAGAATTTGGTGACCAGATGTATGGAGTGATGTGGTCGATGAAAATGGCTGACAGCAATGACTGGGTTCTATTGCTTGTGTGGCATGGGGTAGAGTCCTG